TGATCAATAGCCTTCAATTTTCTAATTTGCAACCCTACGAACTTTTGTTTTAAATATTAAAATGTACAGTTTCTCCATTGAGAAATAAAGAAAACAACCCGTTGAGTGTGTAACGAATGAGCCGAAATTTGATCCCACGATACAATGCCAGGTCGGTCCATAAACTTTATCAAACTCCTGTATAAAATAGCCCAAACTGTTAACCATGGTCCATGATACATATATAAAGGACAAAAAGAAGATAAATGTCTAAAATGATTAAAATAACTCACGGGACAGATTGGACTTTAACTCGACATTATACTATTCCATTGTTCTACACATGCAAATGACTCAAAGGGCAAATGAAAAGAAGAAAAATAAGTTACTTGATTTGAAATTTGAGGGTCCTCTTGCTGTTTTTACACATGGTGTGTTGGATCAGGTCTCATCTCACTATGGATTCCCATACTTGAGGTTTCAGAGTTGAAACTCTTTGATTCTAATATATATACATATTAAACCTTTGTTTTTCTTTTCATTTTTCAAGAATGCAAGGAATAGCCAAAAATACTAGTCAATGGTTCCATGTGCGCCTTAACTCCTAGATTCTGCTGAAAGAAACAGATCGGAAAGGAAGTCATAATTTCTATCTGTCCTGCAGAGTATTGTCTCCTTCCTTGCGACTCGTGAGTTTCCATGAATAAGCCTCAATCATTCTAACTCAGGCAATTCCAAAAAGAAACACTTCCATAATCAATCCACCTACCTTGCTAGATAAATATTTTTGCCTCTCTCATTACATACTGTGAATAGATTAAAAAAGCTTATTCATGTTTATATGAATCTACATGTACAATGCGAAACTGATCTTGAAAATGCACAACTTGAGAAAGAGTTGAGCCTTTTTGAAACATACCTTCTTGATGTTATAAGCCATGTGCCTGGAGCTAAACTTCTCCAAACTATCGTATGTTCTTCTGGCAGAGCGGAAGGCATGCACTTGCATGAACCCTGGCATGTCGGAAACCAAAACTTTAACCTGAAGAAACGAGATCACTGATGACAAATTCGTTTCGATGTGGGACACTGACTTTCTTCCTTCAACAACCACCTTTCCTCCTCCTCCACCTCCACCTCCTTCGATACCCTCTTTTTCGACTCCCATCTGGCCATCCTTGTCTACAGTTTGGCCATTTTCAAGTTTCTTCAACAACAAACTCGGGGAAACAGGCTTGTTATTTGCTCCTACAGCAGGCTCGGATTTTGGCTTCTGACTTCGTGTACTGGACCTATAAAAACTGCTCAAGAAACCACTTATTAGTTTCTTCTGCTTATTCTCTTTGGAAGCCATTAATCTTTCTTTTTCTCTCTCACACTCACTGTGTCTTGTTCTAATAATGTAGTATTAGTCCATGAAGTCAAGCCATGAAGGTGCATATATACATATAATGTGAGCAGGGGAGGTGTTTGGGAATAATTAGCCAAAAGAAATAGCCATATAGAAAATAATAATATGATTAGAAAGTGGATGGAATAATTTATATAAATAAGCAAACCATGTGTTGTTGCCTGTGATGAACGATAAATTAAAGGGTGATGATTGCCTTGAAGAGTTTTTGGGGGCCTTTTTCTCTAGCATTCAAGATTTAACTTGTGTGTCACTTGATTTAGAGTTGGGGAGGGGGCATATTTGTCTCCAAAGTGTTGTTTTGTGAAGAGCCGGCACCCACATGGGGATCAACCTAACGGAACCGTCACTTTCAAATGATTATATTTGGGTTAGGATTATACTTTATAGATTAGACGAAAATTAAAGATAAAATTACAACTATGGGCATAATTCTGGTAATAAAAGACAGATTAGCAGTGATCAACTACTTCTAGATGATGAGTTTGTAATCTATTAAGAAATTATGGTTCCAACTAATAAAACTATATAGGTGTAATTTTGGCTCAACCCAATTTACCTAGATTATTATTTTTATATATATGATATGATTGGACCACATAGATTAAGATTTAGCCATCCTATTAATTAACATGTCAGTAGTCGGCTATTAAAAAAATCTTGAAAGGAGAGAGAAGCCAGCAATTATTTTTGTTTCATGACTTTCATCCTTCCAGACTAGCACGCTTCACATCGCAACGTTCTCTCGATTTCAGTGGAATTGACTTCAAAGAATGGGCGAAGCATGTGCGTCAGGATTTGCTTTCTTCTTGCCTTGCAAAGTTCAAAAGTGAAACCGTAATTTATAAAAAAAAATATTTCTTAGTTGATATTCCACTTGATCAAATGCTCAAAGAAAGATATGGAGGATAATATTCTTCAGTATCTTATATATGATTTGGAGGCAACGACATGATCTACAAGAATGGCCCCTCATGACATTGGTCGTTGGAGAATGGAGACAAGCCATGGACCGTAAAATTATGCAATCATATATTTACATGTTTTGATGACATGGATTTTGAGTGAAGTTTTTGTATTTTGGTTGTTTATCTTAAGAACGGGCCTTGAGCTTCCAAAGCTGTTAATGCCCCCCCTCCGGCCCCTTGTTTTGAGGAATATTGTGGCGCCCTCAAAGCTCGACACAGTAAACAATTTATCAGGATGGTCGTTGATTAGGGGGAGAAAACCCTTTCTATTACTGATTGCCACAGTTTCAGCACATAATAAGACTCAAATGAATCTTGAATTCATGTGGCAAAAAAATGAAACATTGGCACAGTTTCAGCACATAAGCCACTAGATTTCTACAGGGTGCTCAATCTTCTGCGCCTGTAATTGTTGCTGTTGCTTCCCTTTTCGTCGTACGTTGCAGTTGGTCAGCGAACATGACTGGATAGCATCCACGGGCAGCAGAATTACAGGTAGGTTGTCGCAGTTGCATAGCTCAATCATGTTACCGTCGGGATCGTGAAAGAAGAGTTGATCGACGCGGATTCCACCTTCTTCTACACTACCCTTGGAGTATTCTATATTCAGCTCCTTCAGTTTGTTCTCCAATGTCGCCATGCTATCGCACTGGCACTGCAATCGATTCATATATATTTTTTGTTAATTTTGTTAATATTTAGTATATATGTATTATTAGCATGCAATATATAACATGCCTGGAAAGAAATATGATTGTCCTTGGGATTAATGCGTCCAATCTTAGGCATGCTTTCAGGATTCTCTGATCGGAGAAGATGGATACCAATGCCATAATTGAACAACCTATCCAATCACAACACTATGAATCAATATTTAACCAAAAAGGAATGAACAAATGGCTTCAAGAATCTTACGTGGAATTAAATTTAAATTACCATGCACCAGAGAAATCAAAGGAACCGGGTCTCTTGATGGGAAAAAACCCTAGAATATCCTGATAGAAATCTACGGATTTCTCAACTGATCTGCACAAGAGTGAAATGTGATTCAAGCACTTCAGCTGTAGAGGATTCTCCATTTCCTGTGTTCTGCCTAGAACTCTTCGGCTCGAGCAAAACAATAAGAAACAAAGTAAACAACTGTTGTATTGGCAGAGGTTGTTAAGAAACGAAAGTTAAAAGAAGCTTTGATAAAGATGATGAGATCGAACATCGGTCCACCTATTTATAAAGACCAAAAACTGTATGTTTCGTCACCGCATGATATTGTTGTCTGAAAATTGGTCACTCTTTCTTCCAAGTTTGGTTAAGATCATATTTATCCGAATCTTGTCATTACACGGTCACACGTAGATTCTACGTTTATGATTAGAGAAAATTAAAAATAATCTCCTAATACGGTGGATGTTGGTCGCCACTATATATGACGGCTCAGGATTTGATGGGACAATTTGTTTGACCATGGAAAGACATGTAATACAAAACCATAACTGTCTCGGACAGTTGGTTCCCATGAGACAAGTTTCTTACTTGTCAAGAGAAACAAATTGGTTTTTTACTTCCCTTTGGTTGATTCTTCAAGCATCGTATTGCAATCCAAGTTTGTTCAGGCTTTCAGCAAAATTATAGTAACATCTACTCTTTCAATCTTCAAATAGTCTTTTGATTAATTCAATGTTACTGCATGCACTACGCTATCTACTTAAGAATTCAGATAAGGGAAACATTAGTGTGAGATTGGTTTTAGTTCCTTCTGCCTACGTAACGTACTTGGGCGATAAGAGGAATGGTGGGTCCTCGGATTTTCTTAATTAGGATGATGTTTCTTGGGTTTATCATTAATCTACAAATGCACGTAACGCGTTCACCGCTGATTGCCCAGCCCCCGTAGAGTATTGAACCAATGGCTTTCAGCGATTAATCTCAACGTAAGCAAAATATAGCTGGGGTAGGTATATGAAGTTTTTTCGGATTTTGCTAAGAAAAGTCTACAAAGAAGAAAAGCATGTGTTGACTGGTCTCAACTCTGAAGGTGTTCAAAGTCTGCTAAAATACCTATGCATATCTTTGCGTCTTTGTTCCTTGCTGAAGGTCATAACTAGTCAGGTATTATCCGGCTTCTCATTATTCAGTTCATATAAGCAAAATGGTCCCAACTTCAATGTTTGAAATCATGCCTTGAACCAAAAATAAAATAAGACTGCTATCCAAATTACTAATAAGATTGTTTATTGTTCAGTTTTAATCAAATTAATCAATCGAATTAAAATTTAAATTAATTGAACGATTGGATAATTAGATATTAGATCAGTTAAATATTAATAAAATTTTAAATTAATTAACTAAAAATATTAAATTATAATAAATGAATTTTACACCAAATTAATCGATAATTCTGTTAACTTTTATATTGCACCCATCTGTACGAACCCAAGCCTTTGTTTCTACCGGGCCTAAGTCTAACCTTTTCCATCTGGCCCTATTCATCAGTCCATACTTCATACTAAAACTCCATGGGCAAAATAGACGTTTCGCCTATTCAATCTCAGAAGCTATCAAGTATGAGCTCTGAAACTGAAACCTGCGCTTTCTTCTACGTTCTTCGTCCTTAAAATTTCCTCTCAGATTTTACGGGAAAAAAAATGGACGGAAACCTTGGAGTCTCCTTGGATAAGCTTCCCGTTAAACGGCTCAATGCCATCGAAGAAAACGGCCTCGAACATTACCCTCCGTAAGTCTCTTCCCGAGCAAGTTCCGTGTTACGACGAAACTTTTCTGTTTTTTTTTTTTTGCTTTGTTTTAAATTCTTGTATTTCATAGCGAGTCGGGATACGACGAAAAACGAGTCTCGCTAATACGGAAAATAGACTTCGCGTGGGCGGTGGAGGACAATGAAGAAAGGGAGAGGAAGAAGAAGATCTCCAAAGATGCCTCCGCCACTTGGCAATGGAAGAGCATGATGGAGAATCTCCAATTGGCTCATCAAGAGCTTTCTGTCATCATCGACCTTATCAACACTGTAAGTTCCCTAGCTATTGCTGCTTCACTTAGCTATTGTTGCTTAATTACATTTGATTAAAACTTAATAAAGTTTAAGATTTTCCGTTAGTTTTTTTCCGATTCAAAAGTAAAACAATGTACATTTTGTATGAATATTTGAATTTTTTTTATTGGATTTAATGCCACTTCGTATTGATCTTCAATTGTTTCTGTTTCTTTCCCATTTTCATCTCAAGTAAAAAGATGAGAGTGTTAACTATTGAAATTCTATTGCCACACCATTGTCTTTATCCTTGAATGAATGAATTCTGAATGTAACAGAGTTCTAGTGAATATTTCTTTTCTGGAGTTTTCATTAGCTTCTTTGTCTTGTTGCATTTCCGTTTCTTTGACATAGTAGTAACTAATAAGTTCAAAAAGTGGATCGTGCTGCTTCTTTGAATGGTAAATGAGAAGTCATTTAAATATATGATCTTTATTCTTTCTTTTCGGAAAGGTTGAAGCTAATGATGCCGTAACGGTGGCTGGCATGACCAGGCCAAAACCATTACCTAATGAACTCCTGTCTGATCTTGCTGTATCTACTGCGACCAAGCTACAATGTTACCGGGTATTCTTTTTTTGGGAGAACATAAGTGATACTCTCAACTCTTCTTCAGCTTAAGTTTGAGTTTATTTGTAACTACCATTGCCACTGAAAATGTCTATTTGTCTTGGTACCAGAGAAATTTTGCAAATTTCCTTTTTGAGTTTTATTTCTATCGCAGCATCTGGGAAAATACTTCAAACAGTCTGCCACAGCTTTGGAACAACAGATTGCTAGGGAAGCAAGATTTTACGGTGCTCTTATCAGGTATCCCTCTGAATTGACTTAAAAGAATATTTATTCTGAAAATTGGTTGCTATCATGTTTCATCTTCTTTACCTTTATTCTATAAGCTTAACATGCAATTTTTTGTGTGGAGGCTTTGTTCTTTTACATGCTCTACTTCTCTTATTTCCTAACAATTGAATAGATTGCAGCAAAATTGGAAAGTTAAACGACAACGAGTGGCAGCTCCAGGTTCTAGCAATGAAGGCTTCACTATTGATCTTTTTGACAATTCATTATACTGTTCAACAGCAATATCTCCACCGTCTTCTTTTTCTAGTATTCACATTGAACATGATTCAGATGGAATGTTGGCTATCAACATACCTCCAAATTCATGCCACTCTCTTCATTTTGGTTTTCTTGGGGTACATTCTGCTGATGACCCAAAAGAATTGAATAAGATCAGTACACATGGCTCAGTTGAGAAGCACGAAAGAAGCACTGGGAAAGAATCAATGACTGATGAGGAGTATGTCAAAGAAACACATTTGCTCCTTCGCGAAGTTCATCAATCAATCTTCAACGATCAGGTAGACTTTGCTTTCTCATAGCCTTTTTGTGACTCTAATATGCTTTCTTACTAGTATTTTTTTGCATTGATTCAGGTATTTCATATGTTGAATTGTGAAGCATTCAACCAATATGTTGGATTCAATGTCTCTGGAATACGAGAAAATTATCTACAATTAAGCGTGGGTCAAGGAACCTCTTTATTCATATCACTTGTGCCATCTAGGGAAGGTGATGGTCAGGCTGTTGACGTTGCCAATACGCAGAATGTAGATTCTGCAATTGTATCCTTGGACTCATATGATGATGCGAACTTGGGAGAGGGAAAACATGATATTCCTAAAGGGAAAAAGAAATGGGATTTCCCTAATCGAATCAGTTGTGAAATTTATCTGCAGCAAATTGTTCATGAACATGCATTTCTAAAAGTAAAGGATGGACCAAATTTATCTGGTACTAGAGTATCTGGTCAGTCAGGAAAGGATGGATCCGGTCTTCTGGGCCACTTCTGTCTGTCTTTGGGTCATAGAATCTTTTCTAACAGAGTTCTTATGGAGCTGGAAAATGTGGTATTTTCCTCGTTAACCATTTTATGTGGATTACTACAAGTTTTCTTTGGATTTTATTTTTCCTATTTCTTAATATATTTTCATATGATATAAATAGGTTTGCAGGGTCCCATATCTCCATTTAATGACACATCCAACTTGGCATTCTCGGAGATCATCTTGGGCAATCTTTATGAAAGTTCCTCAGTCCATTCTTCATGCAGACTTCCAATCCTGGAAATTAGACTTTCAGAACTTCAAGGATTATGTAAAATCACAGTTTGGTACCAAGGTGATGCTGAATGATGACCGTATCAATGTTGAAGGTGAAGGTGCTCCTAATGTTGTTAGCCTATTCAAAAGCTCTGAGGACATACGTTCTTTATATAAATATGACTGCAACCTGACTGATCTTCCTGTTATAATACTGCAGCAGGTATGTTGCTTTTGTAAATTTGGTGGAATGACGTCATTAATATTATTTAGACCTGTCCAATGGCCATGGAAAGGTCTAGAATAATTCTGCAACCACTGTTTTTAAGGTTTAGATTGACTGTTATTGCTGACACGATCTGCATGTAATTTGATATCTACATACAATTAATGTAATGAGGCTAATCAATGACCTAACATTGGAATGAGAAGATTAAAATGTTTGTTACTCAGTTATTTGAAGTAGATTATGGTACTATCGTTTAGCAGATGTCTGAATGTACTCTCTCTGCTGTTGACAGTATAAGGCTTCCCCTCCCTATGCTGAGAAGCTGAAACAAATCATTAGTAATGCTTAATTAGCTTAATTACACGGAAAAAACAGTCTACTAAGTCTTGGTGGTTTAGATAATTTAAATTATTGTTTATGTAAAAAAAAAGATTTTGTGTGATCATAACCAAAATGAGGGCAGACTTAGCTATGTGTAGAAAGTTAATGAGGGTAGACTTTGCTATGCGTAGAAAGTTAATGAGGGTAGTACAAATTTCTTGCTCTACTTGGTTGTGTAGGTACTAATCATGTGATTATCCTGTGAGTGTTTTGGACGTGGTTAGACAATAATGTGGAGGAGGTTCCTTTGCTTAAGAGGGAAGTGGAGGGTGACGATATAGAAGCATGAGAAGAAATTGACGTGTAAAAGTAAAAGATGTTTGCCCCTAGTTTTCTCTCCTTCCATAACCAGTATGTAGTAACTGATAATGAAATAGATTTTTCTTGCATAATCACGAATAATTAATTGTGAACTTGTCTATTTTAACATTTTCTTTTTGGTGAGTTTAATGTAGACTGTAAGCTATTATCTTGTTTACTGGCATTCCTCTGGAAGTGATTAGAAGACGCGTGCATGTTCATGTCTAGATATTTGTTGATATAGTCCTTAATGACATGTCATTGAATCTGGCTACAGGTTGCAAGCCAAGTTATTGGTTGGCTTCGCGAGGAAGCTCTTATGGTGGGAGTGAAAACAAACCAAGATTTTCTGAGCTTGACTTTTGAGCTAGAACAGAGGGAGACTGTTAGCCTGGTGGCTCATGTGGACCCAGAAGACACTGAAGGCGGCATCTCTTGGTGGTTAGTAATGGAAGATGGATTTGCAGAGGATGGGAAGCTTCAAACGAAAATGTGCGATGGTACCTCCGAGTATAGAAAGTTTTTGGGTCATTTAAACTTGGATGTACTATACTCAACATTGATGGGCTTGGTTAGCTTGCGTGATGGAGGCGGAAACCACTCCTGCTAAAGTTTCATAAACATTCCATGCAATTCAACCATGGATTCTAGACCTTCATCATCCCTGTATTTAAATTAGTTGTTGCATGATCATGCAAGTAATTTCAGTATTTGGCTCTCTACTCGATGTTTGATATTTTCTCGCCGGCTTACTGGTATAGAGTATTTTATCTTATTGAGTTCTTACAGGTTCGAGGTTACAGCTGCTTAGAGTTGATTTTGAAGCTGTAGCTTCCTCAAAGAGAAACCCCAACCAGGACAAACATTTACATTTCCAGGTTAGGGTCATTTCCATTTTAAGTATCAGAACAAAAGAAAATTTCATTTCATTTTCAAACAAAAGAACTGCGTGCCCTCAGGCTTAAGCAAACCTTCTTTTCTTTCTGGAAAGTTCTTGACTTGAACATTTCTGTTATTTTTTCCCTATTGTTTTTATTTAAACGTCAGGATTAAATTTGATGATAATATATGTACATAGGGTTTCTTTATAAGTTGAAAATAAATGCAGAATTCCTATTTTTCTTTCCACCTTTGACCAGAATTCCGATTTTTCAAAGACAAAAACACCCTCCTGGCTCTTGCTATCATTTTCTTTCTTCCTTGATGCAAAGTCAAAGCCATAAGAAACAAAAAAAAATTACGTTGGAGGGAGAGGCATTGCGGGTGACCTTGGCTTATCCATGCTTCATGTGACTTAAGGTTAAAAAAACCAAAACCAAAAGCCTAGTTTGGTGCGTAGATTTGGTGTTGGGTTTCTTAGGGATGGCCCTAAATGGGGTTTTGGTAGCTGCTGGACTTTATATTTTTATTGGTAAGGGTGTTGAAGTTAGCTTCTTTAATCCTCGATCATTGCTGTTAGGAATTTAAGGGTGGAAAAAAATCAAGATCAATATAAAATAAGATATGCATAAAAGATAAAATTTAATGTGATTTGATTTTATTTATCTTATAACTGAAAAGAATAATAATCTATTATAATTATTCTATTATAAACATACAATATATATCATGTATCTCAAAACTTGATTTGTATTACCAAAATACTCCCTTCCGTAAATAAATATACCCCGGTGAAAATAGTGGCTGCGCATGATTCTTTGTTTTGTAGGTACATGATACATCACTTTCTTTGGTGAGATTGCTTGTAATAATTAGGTAGAAACTTGTGCAGATTCTATATCAGAAGTCAATTGCAGATTTGAAATTACCTGCCACATAAAATATATTGTATTATATATGAATGTTACGATATTCAGCAGATGGATTATGAGACGTAAGACTCTGATGTGAAGAGGCCAAAATGAAAACGCAATGATCAATTAACCATCGTTTTTTCCCCGGGAAGAAAATTATTATATCAATTCGAAGCACTTAGAACCAACCCAAATTGACACTGGGAAATGATTACAAACAGGGCACTCAGTTCACTGACCTTATATGGGATACTCCCATTGAAGAAAATATCATAGTCAAATTAGAAGCAATGTTCAGAGGCTGGAATCCTAGTTCCGAGGGGTAAACAAATTCGGTTTAATTATTTTTTTTTTAATTTTGAGTTATTAAAATTGAATTGTTTCAGTCAAGTAAAATTTTTAGTTTAAGTTTAGAGCTCGTGTCAAATTTGAATTTGTAAAGTTTGAATAACTGGAAAACTAGAAAAAAATATAATATTGTGTTGACTTTCTTTTACGATTTAATCCTTGATGTCAGTATTTCTTCAATCTTTCTTTCATTTTAAGTCTATTATTGACTAATTTTAGATCTCATGCTTCTCAACTGCTATAGAATAAGTGCGTAAAACCAAATCCTCTTGTTGACAATAAGTTTTTTATTTTTAAATTTTTATCCTTCAACTTTATATTTTATTCAATTTAGTCCTCCAACCACAATTTTTTTTTTTTTGCAGATTTTTCCTTCTTATCAATTCTCTCACTCTTTTTAATTCTATCGTCAATAGTTTATCCTCAAAATCTTTTTTTAAATAACGTTATAAATATATTATATTATAAGTATTTTACATGTGAAAAGAATGTAAAAATTATATGTGCATGTCAAGTTCGGTTTGAGAGATAATATTACAAATATTTATATCTAAATTAAAATTTGAATAATTGTAGTCCATTTAATTCGATTCAACTCGGCTAATAAAAAATGGACCCTATAACGTATGGAATAGTGGAGATATATTGAAACAATGATCATATCTCTCACAGGTTGTCCAAGAAAGACAAAACACTTTGCTATGCGTCATTTTTTGATTGTTCATCGATCAAAATTAACCAAGCTGTCTTGTCATCTATGTTCATTCTAGAAATTTAATGTTTATATTATTATCATACATCAAATCCAATCACCATAAACCCCTTCAAATGGTGAAAAAGAAAAAATCCAGTCTAGTCAGAACTGTGGCATCATCACAAGCAACAATTACAGCAGTAATTTCTCCAAAGCACCCATAGTTGAGGTCTTTCCCTCTGACATCAGAGACTGACAATTTGCTGCCATCACTGTCACATTTTTTCAGGAAAAGGGTAAAAAATAATTTGGACCAAAGGTGATGGATGTCTGTCTTTACTTGGATTTGTTAAATCATACCTTGAATTATTAGTTCTATCTCTTATGCATTCAACGGTGGAAATTGATGCAATTGCAATAGGTAAGACGGTGACAAGTATGGAGATTCCTTTCAATATTTATATGATAATTCATTCATTGTCATACACTGATATAAAAAACCCTTGCAGAGCACAAGATCACTGGTCTCCATGTGCTCTCTGCCTTTTACCTTTTTACAAACATAATCAGTACTGATTGTTTGATTTCGGCCTCCTCCTCTTTGCTGTTAAAACGTGAACAAATTTCCCTTTTGAAAGGCATGAAGTATTCTAATATGTTTTTTGAGGTTTTGAAGAAGATTTGAGGTGTTTCATCTTCTAAAAGAGAGGTTTTAGTCATTAGGGATGTTTGATGGAGGCTTGACCATGTCTTTCCATAAAGTAATCTGCCCATCAGTTGTGGGTTATTTAAGTAAAATCAGAACTCATTGTAGAACAAGGCCAAATCCATCTTTCGCGGTGCAAATGTCTTCAACTCTTGTGCAAACCGATGAGAATGGAGATCATTATGAATCCAAAAAGATATCGAGTTCACCTTCAGCGCAACTAAAAAGTCAGCCCCAGAGTTCCCTGCTTAGCCAAGAGAATACTGTAGGTATAATTGGAGGGGTTTCTGTTTTGTCCACTCTTATTTTCCTTGAGAAACTTGTTTGGTGGAGCTCAAGAAATGGGGAAGAATGTGTTCCTTTTGTCGTCTGCAGCGATCCTGCCCTCGATGGAAGCGATCAACCGGTTCATTCGCCTTTAAGTGAAATTGCTGAAAATGAAGTGAACCATGAACATGTTATTGTCCACAGTCTGAAGCAGAAAAGAGTGTTTCTTGAGAAATCTGGAGCCCGCTGCATTGTGATGCCATGCCACATCTCAAATGCATGGTATGATGAAATATCTGAGTGCTGCACACTGCCGTTTTTCCATATTGGGGAATGTGTTGCCAGGGAGCTCAAGGAAGCAAAATTGAAGCCACTTGATGCTGGAAGTAATGTTCGGGTTGGGGTGCTTGCCGCTTGTGAAACAGGTGTTGTCGCATACGAAGAAAAATTACAGAATCAGGTATCCCAATACCCAACTCTTTCCCTTATGTTCAATTCTTTATACATTGTATGGTTATAGGAAGCTATATTTGAGTCCTTGAAACTTTGGGTCTTGAAATCTGCAATCAATGTCTTAGAGAAAGTGCTTAGTCTTGCTATTAGAGGAAACTCCATTGTTAGCAAAGTTTTTTCCAAGGGATGATGCCAGGGCTGATTTACTAGTTTTCTAATGCTTGAATTTGAAGGGGTTTGAGGTTGTTTTGCCAGACAGGCGACTGTGGAACACATTCTAATGCCAGTGATTGAGTCATTGAACCAACGGGACGTGGAAGGGGCTCGAAACCTGCTGAGAATCGCAATCCAGGTCCTTCTGATCAGGGCTGTGAATGTTGTCATCCTTGCTTCAGAGGACCTGCAGAATCTTTTACCTCGAGAAGACCCTCTCCTTAAGAAATGTATGGATCCGATGGATGCTTTAGCCAGGACAACTATAAAATGGGCTAAATCTGCAAAACAGATACATAAGAAAACTTGAACAATGCTTGGCATCACGTTGCCAACATGGTGTCAAAACTATTGCTGTCTTGTAGGGTATATTTGTCTATCTGATTGTGGTGCCAAATAAAGGAGTAATACCAGATGAATATATTAAAACAATTCAATATAAATCCATAACCCATCAAAATTCCAAATCCCAAGTGTTCTAATAATGTATGAAAGGCCATTGAAAACAATTAAATAAGAAGGAAAAGTATGTATTTGGTTCAAAAGAAACGCTTCTTCACTTTATAAGTATTGCCATCATGCATGGTTCTCTGAATATTCTGTTTGGTTTTGACTTAAAAAGTGAATTGTGATGTTTCATGGGTATCACGAAGCTGACAAAATCTCAGACAGTCTACGACAGTGTCGTCCTGAAAATATAATATCTAGTTATTAGGGGTTTTAACCCATCAAACAATCGGAAGATCTTTAACAGGAGGCAACAAAATACACATACATATATAATATATAGGACATTGTACGTTGTTGATTTATAGACTAAATATCACATTTCATATTGTTCGTAAGGTATTTTGTTGGTGGTAATCTATTAGATCTCACGGATTGTCACATATTGGAAATGAAGCGGATTACCTTCAACTCATGCTGATCAACTACACTGGTTAAGCTGCAGAGTTTGAAAATTTTTATGTTAATTACGTGAGAGCTGAGCAATGGAAAAAGAAAATGAATGGAAAAATGGGATTTGACTTGCTTTTTACTTCGCAATGGGCATTGCATCGATGCTTTTAAAGTAAGAGCATCTGGTTCTTATCTTCATTATTACACATGTCATGCATATATAGTTCCAAAATGTTCTAATGCTTAAAAGTATCATATATTATTGCGCTGAGAGAAAGCCTGCCTTTAGAGATGAACTGCTCACTGAGATTCCTTGAATCTTTATTTCTAAAGTTTAGCTATCTTAACTTCGAATTAGTTTTACTGCATTGGTTGAATGCAAAGGCTGGTGTTCCTTTGATTATGACTTGAATTTATCTCCCTTGGACCTCCTCCAAATGTAGCATTCAATAATGGATGTTTCCCCACATTCATACAAACCCAGAGCGAAAGAAGGATAGTATTTCCATTAAAATTTTGCAAAATAAAAATTGCAGGAAGAGATCTCAGAGCTTCATGTTCATAAACCCATAAACCTCTTCTGCTGATCAGTGCAGTTTACATATGGCTGTTCTTGGAAAACAAGGCCTTCACCTTTGGTTAACCTAAATATTATTTGACTCCATCCAAAAAAAAAAAAAAAACTGATGATAGAAGGATCAGAGGTGAAGGGAAACTAGTGTCATTGCTGACAATATTCTTCGTAAATTCCTAAACACCACCTGAAATGTAGAAGAGAGCAAAACAAAATGTCAGGAACTTGCAGTGAATAGCTTTTGAACGGATTATGCTATGATAAGATCAATGCTGAAATGGCTGCCAAATTTTCTTACCAAAATCCCTTGGTGTCTTGCATTTGAAGCATTCGATCCTGCTAGCATAATTGTGAACTCCACACCCATATCTGTCAAAACAAAATTGCAGTCATGTTCACTTGATAATTGTAATACAACATTTATAAATTGAAGCTTCATATTATCATTCCAGAGACAATGCAGCTTATTTGTGGAATTTTAAGCTCTTGATCAGAATAAAAACCAAGACACCATTTACTCAAATCAAAATATCAATGAAAACTCACCTGGTGCACATCCAGTCACCAGTTTTCCACCCAGGAGGGGCACTGCTTTCAGACCCCACCATACCATAACCACCATAGTCATTTTTCATGGTACCACATCGATAGCAGTTTATTCTGCTAGCATAGTTGTGAGCTCCACAGTTCATGGCAGCGCAATACCAGTCCCCGGCCAAAACATCGCTCCTGTTGTACAGGTAGGTCGATACATCAGGGCCTCCATACTTGGGATAAGCGCAGCGTTGGCATGCTTCTCTCTTTTTGAAATTCTGGTGTTGGCAAGCTGCACACATCCAATCTCCTCCAGTCCAGCTCATTTTGATCCCTGGTAAACTATATTACAAACCACAAAATCAGAATAAGTAAAATCAAACCCCATATTTTAGTCTAGTTTTTATATGATCATTATGCTAGTCAAGCTCAAACCAAGCTTGGATTGAAGAAGCTTACCTCCTTGGAAATAAAGTGCCCGGAGTGGGAGAAATTAGTAGATGAATAAGTAAGTTGTTAATGCGATTGGTGATTTAGGTGTTTGGGGTGGAAGGGATATATATATTTGTTGGGCTGGGGGGGGGGGGGGGTTGGTTTGAGGTGTCATAGATGCTGGTCTGTCATTTCTTTCTTCATGGGATTCTCAAAGCAGTCATTTTTGCTTTTTCTTTCATTTAGAGAGTGTTTAGATAAAACCTAGCTAACTTCTTCACAGTTCTAATATTTTCACTGAACTTGGGAAGATGGGTCAGCATGTCATGCATTAATTCATGCATACTTTTTTCAAAATTGAAATTCTAAACACGTGCATGCAGGCCTCCTCCTCTTTATGTGATTCCCTATCATTATTGCTGGAAATGAACGTGAAAATATATTCTCTTCCCATCCCTATTACCCATCAGCTAGGTATTATGAGGGGAAGCTGTTATTTGGATATGGTGGCTGCTGTTTACCATCTTTCTTTTTCCTACGCTAAATACATATGTGCAGCAAAGAAATTGCTGATGTGGGATGTACACGTGTATAGACACGTCAAGCTCCTTCCATGTCCAAAAGCTGGCGTGGATGGACACTTGCGGTGCCAAAATGGGGAGGCTCATCCAACTAGTCAGATATACCTTCCATGAGGAGGCTTATGCAGTGACGGTAGCAGTTGGGACAGTAAAAAAAAATAAAAGAAAGGGATAAGAAACATATGGGAAATTACATATACATAGATAATATATATTGCAATTGGAATTTATTCCTTATAATGCACATCCATTGCAAAATTCCTTTTTTCGCCTTTTAATTGCAATAATTCAAAAGCCATCTGAAGATTCATATCAACTGGAGCCGTTTGCTTTCAGCGGTCTTCTCAATTACTCCTTCAATGTATATTCCAAACCTGAGTTGTTATTGGCCTTCTTTCTGCACTTTAGGTCTTCACATCTGCACATACAAAACAGAATCCCATGATAGACAAAAGGTTAGACTATTCAATATAGGTTTAATATAAATCATATTCTATATTAAGAAAAGGAGTCAATTAAACATTAATTTGATTGATATTATAACATTAAAAAATAAAGATTCTAATTTTATGTTTTAAAATATATTTGACAAATTCAAAATTCAATAAATTTATGGTTAAAATTAGATGTGAAATAGCATAGTAATTAAATGAACAGTTGGTAAATTGATATGCTGAATAAATAAAAGCTTATATATCTCACGTTGTGGGAAACAAAAGCGAAGGTAGAAAATGGGGAATGTTATGGTCCTTATGGATGAATATTGTACGCGGCGGACCGACGCTGGTAGGCTACAAGTATTCATCGGATAAATATAAAAGTAAGCACTGCATGTCATTGTACTGCCACCTGAAAAATTCCACCTTTTTTAACACATGATGTGATGAGCTGTTTTCGACTAAAACTCCAAACAAAGGCGTTAAAAGCAGAGGGAAGTTTGGTTTTCATAATAAATACATTATTAAAAATGTTATGTTGTTTAATTCACGTATGAAATATGTATTTAATAGTTATAAAAATCAGTAATAGAATATACTGGATTAAAGACTTAAAGGTCTCTCTTGATTATGGTATGTGCTGTTTCTATAGCTTACATGGCAAACATATTGAACTCCAAATAAGCACAAGTGCTTGCTTGTTTGGCAATGATAAGGAAGAATTTAGAGGCAGATATCCGGTGGTAGAAAAATACCTTAGAACAGCAGGCATGGAGCCCAGCTTTATTCTGGGCTTGTCAAAGGTGGTCCATTTCCCTTCAATAATACTCCAGGGAATCCACATCCATTACCCGGGAAGAATGACCGTTGCTTTTCAATTTTGTATTTTCTCTTCCCCCACGTGAATTTTGAGTTTCAATCCCCTTACTTAACCATATGCTCTGTGTTCCACGAAGCGTATTACTTTAACTTGTATCCGTTTCAAGCCACCAAAGATTGATTTTTATCCCTGCAAAAAGTTTTCGCCCTCTTCCTTTTGGTGTCTTGATAATTACTAAAGTGACTCTCATCCCAGCATTATCCCCAATTATTGTACCAGATTAGCTTGTGATTGTTAATATCTGAAATGAAGTTGGGAATCTCCAACAGGGTTTTGATTGAGGTGTTAAACCGTTTACCGTTACCATCATAATTGGAGCATAAGCCCATTAGAAGACTATGAAGCACACTAAGTGCGGGTGGATGGATGTCGAGTTTCATAATTGTGTCTTGTGCTGTGTAATCTAATTAAATTAGTCTGATTCTTGCAAAGGAAACCCATCTTTATTTATATTACAGATACCGATGGATTACTTAGAAACGGGAACAAATAACTTGTTAGAATACAATCACTCTTCCTTGTACCACGTTCGTCATATAGCCAACTAAATGCTATGGATTACTTAGTCTGATTCCTTGTACCGATGGATAAAATGGGATATGGATTTGTTGAGACTTGAGATGCAAATGGGTGCCTCAGCTGTTGTGGTTGTGTGGGAGAGTTTGATGGTTTCTCTTGAATTCCAGCTTCAGCCACTTGGATTTCTGCTATTCTCAGTTCGGCTCTTGCACACTTCCCTATACTTTCTCAAAAAAAATTAATAAAATGAAACTTTATCATTATAATAAATTGAAGGGTAAACTATACAAATTGGTCACTAATATTTGAATATATTTTTATTTTCTCCATCAAAATTTTAAAATTAACAATTTTGTCATTGATATTATCAATTCATAACAAATCAGTCTCTCGGCGTTAACATGAGTGACAAAAATGTTAAATCGATGATTTTGCATCATTACCATAACTTTAACTCTCCAAAACTTTTGATCAGTGTTCTTCTTTTCTCTTCTTCTTCAAGCTATTAATATCATAATACAATTACCATGAAATGTTGTAGAGCTAATGGTGTAACAGTTGATAATCGGAAACCACCACCCTAACAGATGGAGCATCAACAGCTGATAGCTGCTAAAAGTCCACAATGTGGTGTTCAGAAGCAAGTGTGGCAAAGTGGCGAGATTTATACATTAGAGCAGTTTGAATCCAAGTCCAAGACATTAGCAAATAGTTTAATCGGAATCCAAGTATTATTTTGGAAGGCGGCTTGAGAGAAGTCTATATATGTAAAAATTTACAACTTTTTAAAATTTCTCATAATTTTTTTTTACTTTAAAAGTTCTTCATTTTTCATAGCTCCCGTTAAGATCTGAAATAAAGTTGGGGAATCTCTAATTTTGATTAAATCGTTACTACTACCGTCGAAATATCTCCCATCAACCTCGTTTGAACTCAAGGTCGTTTTACATACACCATTGTTTAATCCAATTAGAATATCAACCAGACCAAATGCAGCAATAAATGGTGCATGGATGCCAACTCTCTGGGATTTCTATGATCTGTCTTCTCTATCTCATTATTATTTTTTCATAAATATAGCTATGATCGGATCTTTTAAAACATCACTAGTTAAGTTTAATCGTGGATAAAATACCCGAAATCCAAGATGAGAACTGGATTTGGAATCTAAAAATATACTAGAAACCACATAAAGCTGATCATTTAGACCAATTTAAGCTTAAGCTTAAAACCTTGTGCTGTGGAAGTCTAATACCTACTCCTTTACAGTCATTGAATACAAAATCCAAAGGTCTCGCTGACACTCATAATTACATTTTCTCCATATTTACGCGATAGATAGAAGTGAATTTTCTTAGTGCACTTTGATTCTTGTAAAGGAAAAGCATCTTTATTCGTATTACAGATACGATTAATTACAAAGCAACTGGAACAAATAACTTGTTAGAATACAAATTCAACTGATCACCTCACCCCTTCTTTCCAATCCTACTTCTTTTTTAGCCAACTGAATGGTAATAAACTAATAATTACGGCTTACATTAGATGTATTTAAAATTTAAACCAAACTCAAATTCGTGCCTCCATGTTAGGTGCATGGTTGAAGGAATTCTTCCGTGCCGTAGCCAAAACAGTCTTGTCCGCAACTATAAAATAAGCAGCTCCTGCCGCTGCAATAACAATCGATGCTCTTATTAACAAAAGGAAAACGTTACTATAAAAAGATGTCGATCGAGATACTGTGAAAAGGATGATGATGATGAAAACCTGTGGAGATTATAAGAGCTTGTGCGGTGGGATTGAGATTGGCTCTTGCCCAAGGCAGCGTCCTTGCAATAGCAAGCTGCATTTGCATGTCAAGCGCAAGGGATCCAAATGTTACATTTAGTCATCCCCAAGTAAGTATAAACTATGAGATTGTCCGGTCCTTGGTATACTTACAGTTGGAATTGCAGTAGCAATGGTTGCAACGATGGCTGCCTTTGCTCCAGCAACCACGCCCTCTGATGGTGCAAAACAAGAAACGGATCATCATTGAGGTTACTTTTAAAGGAGCTAAGGCATGTTATCTCATGATGCAGTTATCAAATAGTATAATAGCCAACTGAAAAGGGGAAACAAATTGAAGAAAGTTGAAAGGAAAGGGAAAATTACCATGAGAGTAGCGTTTGGCCATGGCCAGCTTTTGGTCAAGGGAGGCCAAGGTAGCAGATTGAGCAACATTTTTAGCCATTGTGAAAGGAGAACAAATTTGAGAGGAAATTCAGAAAGGTGTATGATTGTGTGAAGCTTTGTTGAAGAGATTGTGAGACCAGGATGGGTATTTATAAGGCAGACTTTGGATAAAATGGGATGGATATGGGACTGTGCCTCAGCTCTGTTGAAGAGAGTTTGATGGTTTCGTCTGAATTCCAGCAACACAGACACTTGGATTTCTCCTAATGTCGGTTCGCCTCTGTTGCTCCTGCACTGTTGCCAAATTTTAATTTATTTAGGTCCGGTTATTCAATCTTTATGTCGATTAATTGTTATTACTATATCATATAAAAGTGCCTAAATCAATTATCAAACAACTTTAATAAAAAAACTATATTATATATTTTAATATAAACAATTACTTTAATAAGATATATACCACTAATTAATGATTGAAAAAATTTAAGCAAATATTATCTTGTAATCATCTTAAATTATTAAAAAAAAACTTTAATATATAAATAAAACAAATAAAATGAATCGAGCTATAACAAATATATATAATATTTAATTTAAATTAATCAAAGTCATAATATTTTTAAATCTTAAAGGATAAAAAATCTTAATATATAAATTAATCATAGAGGGAACATTTAACGATTTATGTACAAAAATTACGCGTATTAATTATCAATTCTTGATTACAACTTAATTTGTTTAGAGAAATTGTTTTATAGATCATTCTCACCATGCTACCAATGGTCCCAAAATTAAAAATATCTACATTGATTTTTTTCATATCATTTATACACAATAATTTTACTTTTTTCAAATCAAATTTCTTTACTATTACATATTAAAATCAAATTTAAATTTAAAAAGTATTTTTAGGGTCTTCAATAAGATATAAAGAAAATTATCCACGTTCTTTCAAATTCTTTATCTTGCTCAAAAGTCTCTTCTTTACTCTCAAAATTATTAAGTTTCCATAGCTCTTCAACTTTTCGAAATCTCAAGTTAAATTATGCTTTGGCCAATTATCATTCCTTGATATATTAAGAAAAATGTGTTTTTGTTTCTCTAAACCTCGAGTCGTTGGTTGTAGAATTGTTACAGGTACAAGTTAAGACGTTCAAACAAAATTAAATTTGGAAGGTTAAATGGCATACAACACCTGTAAAAGAAAAAAATATTTGTTTTAATCTTTATTTCTAACAATCTCATCTCACTTTAAAACCTAAACTCCCTTCTTTCTACAACACAAGATAATGATAACTTGATTTCTTTATGTTTTTTTTTATTGAGTTACAGACAGTAAGAATGGATCAAGGGTTTTAGGGAAATGTTTAAAATTTCGATACGTATTTTTGGAAAAGAAAAGAGAATTAAGAAGGTTTCAAAAACGGTTCTTAAATTTAAGTTTTTTTTTATATCTATAATGGAAGAAACTGATTTAAAAATAAAATTATTGTGTGTAAATGACATGAGAAAAATATTAATATAAATATTTTTAACTAGTTGAAATCGGTAATGACGTGATGAAAATGATTCGTGTTTTTCATCTTTTTATAAGAAAAAATATAACCTAAGAATATTAATTTAATGCTACAATATAATAACCGACTTATAACACATGCGTCAGACTTTCCTTACTCTTAGTTAAAATTTATTTAACTTTAACTAAGATATGAAAAGGGATTGTTGTTATTTTTGAAGACTCATGTTCGAACATCATGGATGTTAGGGGTGCGAACATTCAATGTCGAGAGGTTAGGAGTTATATTTAAATAGATATTGTCTTTTACTTATCCCAAATCAATTAATTATATATATATATATATATATATATTATGAAAAAGGCACCTTGGTCATTAGGAGTTAGGTAAGTTGATATGGAATTACTAGAAACGGTGGGCATTGGAAATTAGTGATTCGCGCACATTATCAACCGGTGGTTGGTTCTCCCACTTTTATCTGTAAAAACTTCGGTTCTTACGCACGTTATACGCACAAACCTATAAAAACTCTCTCTTTTTGCTCCTAATGGTGATCGCCAAGCCACTGGTTTAGTTAAGCCAAAGCTTTCACAAATCACAAAACCATGGGTAACCTAACCAAACCTTGCAGGTGATTTTCAGTATTACTATTACAGTCGTAATATTTTTATATTAATAATTCGTTTTTTAATTAAAATATTTATGTGCCGTAATTTTTTAAAGGATTATATTATATTTATACCATATAATAATATTATTCTTAGGTGTCATGTGTAGGAGTGTGTAACATATTTCAATCCAATCCATTGATCTTATCTTAAAATTTAGATATTCGATCAACTTTTTAAATTTTTAATGAAATATCCGAAAAAAATCGATAATTAAATCAAATACGGATCAGTGAAATTTTAATTTCAACTTGTCCGAAAATATGAAGAAGAAAATCGTGCCTTTAAATAAGTCTTCAAGTCTAACAATTCCAGCCCTCAGCGCCTCTGTCCCAATCAACCCGATTTTTTCAAAACTTTTAAATTATTTAACCTTTTAAATTATTTATTTTTCAAACCTTTAAATAAGATATTAATTATAGTTTTAAAATTATTCAAGTATGTTTTAATAAATATATAGTAGATATATAAAATATATTGTATAGAGTTATAAAATTTTAATTTTCATTAAATTAAAGTTTATATTCAAATATCCGAATATATTATCCGAAAATTTAAATACCTAAAAGAATGAATATCCTATTTTTTTCAGATTGGCTATGAACCATAATTTTAGTGATTTAAATTTTCGAATCGGATAATAAACGATATCCGAAAACGCACACCTATAATCATGTGTTCAACTGTAGTTGTCTCTTGAAATATTCAAAGAGAGACTGACATTTTGGGTTAATGGATGAACTTTTAAAATTTTAAAAGAAAATAAACTTATAAAAGTTTAAGAGATAAAATTAGATTATTTATAAAAATATAAAAAAATCTAAAACATATTATATTCTTTTAAGAGAAAGACTGTTGTCTCTTAATTGATCCCTAATAACTGTACCACGTGTCTCAGAAAATTAACGGGATTGCCGCTCTCACTGACAGACACATGAATATTTAATACTCCGCAAAATGTTAAAAGCATGGTAAGCGAGACATAAAACGCTGCATGGTTTTGTTCGCGGTTTTAGGCTTGAGTGGGTGACCTCTGCCTGCAAAGGAAGAAAATAGCATCTCATTTTGTTGTTTTCCAAGCACACTGAGAGGATATAGATCTACATACTTCTTTAATTAGTTCATCACATGTAGGTGGAACAAATGAATGTACCTTATGAATTAACTCAACAAGCAGTATAATATAACAAAATTAGACCTTTCATAAATAATATAAGGCAGTATCTATATTAGTAGAACAGGGATAGTATGGTAAACTTTTCCTTGTCCATATAACATCCATGCAGAGTGGATGCATGGATGAAGTCCCAAAGCAATAACCCACCCCTCAAAGCCTAATAATTTTGTTCAAGCCCATTCTCATATTTCGTTTGGAGTACTCGTGAATTTATTGTAAATCACCAGCGCGGCCTTTATTATATTCATGACTTGTTTGCTTTATTACTAATTACTATGATCATGCAACTCAGCAAAGGAAGTCGCGCACCAAGAAAAAGAACAAGTTTGAAAATGGAGGGCTTTTCTTTCAAGTCTGAAGAAGAAGAGTTTTATTGACTTTGTGAAAAAGATGCTGCTTATTGAGCATTTTACAATTCTTAATAAGGAAGATTAATATTGTCAGGAACCAAAAAGGAGCACTTAAGCAATAATACTTTTCGTAAAGCAAATTGTGCACATCACTTGAAGAAAGGAACGGATGAGATATTCTGTATATAGAAAGATTTGTTTTGGTATTACTTAATTGACGATCTCCATAACTTCTGCCCACCTCTGTGGTGCTGACCATTTTCCTCTTGTATCGCTTCTTTTTCTATTTTGGTGTCAGTCTAGTTTCCAGAAGGGTGAAACTGTGAAAGGTGAGAAATATAGAATACTAGAATAGAGATAACGCTGTCACTTTATCCATGCAACCAACGCACGACCAAGTGGGGTTGAAGTTGAAGTTGAAGTTGAGAAACCTCGCGTGCTTCTGCAAGTTGACGACCCACCGGTCCCCAGTCCCAATATTCCATATCAAATTGTCTTGACCTCTGCCTCTGCCTCTGCCTCTCTCTCTTCAAACTTGAATCTACCTTGTAATTAACCTGTTAACCAAAACATTTATATATATTCCTCTCCAAAGTTGTGACCCATTTCATTAAATTTTGACTTATCCTTAATCAACCCACCTGCAATGAATAATATGCAGCAGAACAGTGAAGAATCAAGTTGTTCCAGCACCTCGAAACTACAACAGAATATGCATTCTCGGATAAGCTTGTAGAAGGTTATCCTATGTTGTACCTCGAAATTTACAAATGGGACATAAAATTAAGGGGATGAAGCATGAATCGCAACTAAATCTTTTATTATATATTAAAAAGGAGTCAAATTATTACACTTCTCGATGTTGTTAAAGTTCGATTCGTATATGAACAAGTTTAAATTAATCCATGATCCTAATTCTTTTATATCTTCTTTATTATTCAACCACGGTTTAATAATTATGAAAGTGAAGTGAAAGTTTTTATTTACTTTTGCTTGGGGGCAGAAAAACATGATTGTTAATTTGTCTTTTTTAATTATATATTCTTTTTACATTTGATCCGTGAAAGGACGTGTGAATGCGTCACATAATTGTGAATGAAAAGCTACAAAGTAAAGCCCTTAGTTTTAATTTCTTTTCTTTTTATAATAATTTTTACCATCATTGACAAGAGTCATAATTGTCACCACATGAAGTCCATAGATTTCTCATGGAATCACATTGGGACAATTTATGGGATCCATTCCTTTTACACGTCAGAATACATAAAAATAAATTAAATGTTAATTAATTCACACCATACAAATTAGAAGGAAAAGCAATCCCTTTTGGGGCTATTTTAATTTACATTTTTTTGAGTTAGAAGTAGTCAAATGATGAGGGATTTGATATGGGGCATCTCTTTCTTCTTTGCTTAGCT